AGGCCCAGATTGAATCTGATAGTCACAACCTTATTTTGTATTTGAATTTTATTTTATGTTCTACAAATCCAAATAACTTGAAATTTTAAGTGTGTGTTGCAATAAATAAATTGATCAAAATACCCCTAAAATGTTTTGGGGGTATTTTAGTTAATTTATTTTTTACGAATTATTTTTTAAAATATTTTTATTAGGTGCGCCTTGATGAGAAGAATGAATTCCTAAACTTTTAAGTAATTTAAATTCATATAAATAAAATAAAATTCAGCCTAAATTCGATCTAGACCGTTGGGTTCATATGTTCATATGAATTAGTGGGCTAATCTCAGTATTTTTTGTATATATATAAGAGCATACGTATCCAACACTAGTGTGTGTATATAAGAGCAGGCATCAATTGGATCTCAACAAGATCAATGAAATTCAACTAGACATGATTTGTTTTACAGGAAAGATAAAATATTATCATGCTTTTCGTATACTCGTCGGTTGTGTACACATTATAGCAAGGGTTTAAAAAGCGGATCGGTGACCCGGATCGGGCACATCAAAAACCTATCCGGATCGGCGAATTTGTGATCCAGATAGGGAATCGGTTGAATCGTTAGAATTAAAGCTTCAAAACAATCTGAAAAAATTATTAAAATTCATTATAAATATTGTTTTTAAAGAATCCAATAAGAAATGAGGGTACTACATTAATAACTTTTATTTTTTTTTATCAATTTGTGAATATTAAGATGCTCTTTCCCTATATAAACTTAAGTATTAAATTTGCATCATATAAAAGAAAAATCATATAATTATCATGGATAAAATATATAATTATACATGGACTATAATAAAGAGTAGACTAAATCAATGAAAAAATGACCATTAAAATCTTGTTTTAGCGAAAAACCCTAATCCGCTAAAAAAACCCAAATTATTACAGCCTAACTAACTATAATCCAAAATTATTACAACTTAACTAATTATAATATTATATAATAAAATTATAATTGTTTGTTTACATTTTATAATTATTTTATTAGATAAATAATAACAAATTACAAATATTTTATAATATTATCTAATTTAAAATGTATTATTGACAACTGTCAGAAAAATAGTAAATTACATGATTTATAATGTAAAAATTAATAAATAAAATAAAAGATTTGATTATCAATGTAAAAAATAATAAAATACGTACAAATTTTGAAAATAACACTTTAATTTATTATATGCCTAAGGGGGAACAAAAATTAGTTTAAGAAAGGATTAACTATTATATGGCCCAAGGGGGGATTCGAATTTGAGAAATCAAAGCAAATAACATTAGTGATAACCATCATGCCTCCTTAGCATATGTGTTTAAAATTGCCTATTAATAGTATATATTTACATTTTGTTTTCATTTCATGATGTTTGGGAATTATCCCACATCGAAGGATGAGTATTCAAATATGTTATATAAATAACTATGTAATTAGAAGATAAACACAAGTGTGAAAAGTGAAAACACTAGGGCATCTGTGCACATGCACGTGTGCATGTGCGTGTCGCACATGTGGGAGTGATGTGTGTTGCACTTATGACGTGTACACATGCGTGAAAGTATTTTTGAAGCCTAAACCGGCTAAAACCGAT